TTCTTTTGCATCATCAACATTCCACTGCTGACCTGAAATTAATGTAAGGAGAAAGAAATCAAAAGTAAAGATCCTTCAAAAATTTGTGTTATTTTGTTAACTCTTTATTCAACTTTATAAAACTTTTAGTAGAAACAAAGTAAGGTGGAATCTCTTTCATGCTTACCCAAACATGCCAACTTGGAATATTATTTTTGGACAACCGACCATACTCATGATCCTTTATAACAAAAATTAAAAGGTTAGGTTATCAAGGAGACATGTCATTAGATGAAATTCGTAAATTCAATTAGAAACACTAACAACGTACGTTTAGATTATTAATTTAATGGTAAGCACTAACTACGACTTTATTCTGCAAAATCCAGATTAGATGAAGAACTATTTTTCTTAGAGAACAAAATGTTGTGATTTATTTTAGGAAAATAAACCTATCAAATGCTTGATAGATTACTCCTCGTGTAAATATATGATGTGAGTTTTTTTTCTTTCTTTTAGTAAATTTAGAATTGGAAAACAAACTAGAAATTATTGAACTTGTAGTCGGAAAAATATGAAGTTTTAAATTAATCTATAAACATTTAACCAATCTATTAAAACATGAAAATAATGTTTTTTTTATATAACAGGTTGTCTAAACGAGTTTTTGTTAGGCTTATTTTTTTCATAATATTGTTGATTAGAGCTAAACTATCAACTTTTTATTTTCTTGGAGATTTGTGTTTTATCTTAGACAAAGATATAAGTAGAATCAAACAAAAAAAACAAATTACAACTAAATAAACTCGAACTAAAAATGATTTTGGTTCGATCTATCAAGGAGTTGTAAGGAAACTCAATGGGCTTTATTCGCCCCATCTAGGTATAAAACGGGCCAGGCCAAGTCAACCCTCAATTTCCAAAGTAAAAACAAACGGCCCATCTCAGATTACTAACAAAAACAAGTATTTCCTCAGAAAGTGTCTAAAGTCTAAAACAGAGATAAATTGTTACGAACAGTAATCTCAGTAACCAAATTATACACTAGTGTATGTATTATGTTTGTTTAGATAACATAATACGTCACGAATTTATTACAACAAACAGTGTGGAACAGAGGAATGAGAAAATCTGACAAGGAAAAATTAAGGTTTTTGAGGGAAAGAAAAAAGATTCTCAATG